ACTCCGTCAGGTCCTATCCGGCGGCCTCTACCCAAGCAGACAAAAATTTGGAAAAATGCGTTTAAACGCACAAAAGGGAACCGCGATTGTGAGTCATTAACGCTCATTACAAAAGCGCAAGAAAGTGCGTGTATGGGCGTTTTCTTTAACTTTCTGGACGTGAAAATGGCTAAAACTCCAGTTGGTGAGCGTTAAAACGTGCTTTTATTCTAGAGTCTAAAAGCGAGGCGTTTTAACGCTCAAAGCTGGAGTTTTAGCCATTTTCACGCCCAGAAAGTTAAAGAAAACGCCCATACACGCATTTTCTTGCGCGTTTTAATGAGCGTTAATGACTCGCAATCGCGGTTCCCTTTTGTGCGTTTAAATGCATTTTTCCAAATTTTTGTCTGCTTGGGTAGTGGGTGTGGCTGTCGATCTTCTCTTCACATCCATGCCCACACCCAAATTCACAAGGAAAAGGATTCTCTTTGACATGTTTCTCTGTGTTGAGCACTGATTTCGATATTATAGAGTGTCTAGTAAGTCACGAAAGAAGAAAAAGAAAATCAAATATCCTCACCCTATGTTGACAAAATAGGCTGATATTTTTACCACTGATAGAGGAGTGTTCACAGATTATATTGATAAGTGGAGTATTATCAAAAACGGTTTTTTGCAGTATCATAACTGCCTTCAACACAGAACTGTAACCTTTGACGAGTTGTGAAAAACCAATATAACAGTTTTCTCAGCAGATCTCTCGATGTTTACGGCCGAAACTTTCAGCATACACTGAATAACAAGACATGTATCTGTGGAATAAATAATAGACCAAACGAGGCTTGTGAGAATAATTATTTGAACAAATTAGATGTCGTTTATTCTTGGCTAAGGAAATAAATATTTTGTTTTTCTTTTAATAGTCAGTGAAATGTTACAGTTCCTTATTGAAGTCAGTTGTGATACTTGAAAACAGTTTTTGATACAGTTTCACCTATGAATATAATCTATGAACACTCATCTAGTAGTGGTAAAAATGTCAACCCATTTGGTCAAAATAAGGCGGAGATATTTGATTGTCTTTTTCTTGTTTCGTGACTTACTGGACACTCTATATATTGCAACATAATCTGAATTATAGTTCTTTCAAAAATGATAATCGCAAGAAAAAATAATAGTTAGGGTAATTAAATTACAACTGAATGAATAATCAATGAACTTTTCTAATTTTTGTTGATAGATATTTGCTATTTTTCTTTTAATTAATGACCAATGCAAACTCTTTGGAAGAATGTTGAAATCTACTTCTAAACAATGTAGTATCAGATTGACCTCAACATTTTTTTGTTTGAAAGCACAAAGCTTGAGAGAGTATTTAAATAGAAATAACAATTTTTTGAAAGCGTATGTTTTCAATATCGTTCCCGTCTCTATGTTCTCATTCCCGAAGTTCTCACCGGAATTCCAGTTTTTCCCAGGCAGACAAGCGTTTAAAAAAAGACGTTTTTATATGTTAAAAGCGCACATTGTAACGCGTTAAAACGATTTTCCGTGGTAGAAAAACTGCTTTAGCTCGTTAAAATGTGCGCTTTTAACGCATAAAAAAGTCGTTTTTTTAAACGTTTGTCTGACTGGGTCGATTCCTGCGGAAAATGGGACAGGAAAATGCAGAAAAAAATCGTTCCCACAGGGCACTAACGCACACCGTTTTTTGATTTTTCTCAAGTTTTATCTGGATAAAAGAGCAAACATTTGTTGTTCAAAAGCAATCACGAACTCATCCATGTGTCATACGTTGTTCTCTCTATATAATTTTTTTTTGCAATAAGAGAAGCATGATACTTGACTGGTTGCATAATATATGCGTCATGCATGAATATATAAAATTTCATTTAAGCTCTTGAAAAATTGTGTTAATTATTTCGAAGTTGAATGAAACTTATACCAAGTACTGGACACAAAAAGAAAAAAAATTTCTTGCTAATCAATTTCTTTTATTGACAAACATAAAAAACTTATCCGCAATCTGAATTGAAACAATCTAAATATATTTTTTCTTGTGATAAAACAGAATGTGAAAACTTTGGAATTAAGCATGTTACGATGGAACAGCATGTAAAGACGGCGACGATTGTTTAAACGATGAGAGAAATAGATATGAAACACCAACAAGGTAAAGTTAATTTGAAGGGAGACGTCAAATGAGAAAGCAAAGAGCCATTAGAGCTTCTTTTATTATAATAATTCTTTTATCCCACTTGCACTCGATGAAACAGACACTGTTAATTTCCAGCAATACAAAGGATTTCAACTTTCCTTTCTTTTTGGACATGAAGGATAATACAACCAAAAGATTCTCTTTCCTTTCTGAAAGTGAAAAGAAAATGAAAGAGTACAATTACACACAATACTTAAGCAAATATAGTAAGTGTTTTCTCGTCTATTGATATCACTTCGTCCAACTCCAAAAGACCACTAGTATGCTGATTGTGCCTTCACCATGTTTTCTATTTTCATGAAGATTGTCTTTTTCTCTTTCTCATAGTTGTTACTGATCTGACGAGAAGGTTGGAATACGTCAACTTCTTGCACATTGAAATAAAAAAGAAAGACATTGCGCGGGGAAAAAAGCGTATTATCCGAGAAAAGTAAAAGACACGTCCCGACATTATTTACAAGTACTGTTTCAATGGCTACTGGTGGAAAAGCTCCTGATGGTAAAAATTCTAAAGAAACTAGTGCAGCGATTCTATCGACTATCGATTCAAGAGAAGAAGTGCAGGTAAGAGTAATGAAAATATTCTGGACGCTGCTAACTTCAAAAAATGCCAGTGACCATTTTTCTCTGGTCGCAGAATTTAAGGAGAAAATTTTCAAGTTAGACAATAGTAAAAATGATAATATCCAGATGAAAAATGTCAATCCGGTATTCACACTGGTTTTTCTATTATCTTTTCTTGCTATTGATAGCGTACTTCAGTTATTGCACTACGCCACGGTGTGAATTTTTGAAAAACAGATGTGAACCCTCATTCTCGATTCATGACTAATCGGTTTACGATGTTTTTGAAGAACTTCAAAACGAAGAAAACCGTTTAGTAACGTTACCATGCATTTACATTGTATGAATGAAAAAGATACAGAATCAAGTTGGAATAATTATCCTTTTATAGGGAACAAACGCTTTTCTTTAAGTTTACGGCTGGCCAAATAAGATGCAAAAATGAAGAGTCAGAAATCATGAATGCAAGTTTATATGCATTCTCTCAAAAATCTGTTGTTTGGGAATTATATTGTAATAAAAAGTTCGTTGCTTGTAGGAGAAACATGAATGGCTTGTGATTAAACACCCTCGCATGAAATTGATCTGTGAAAAGATACAACAGTGTGAGTTGCTGATTAATAACCTGGTGCAACAAGTCCAAGCAACAATGCATCCTAGTCCCCCTAATGCCAGCCGGCTTCTGACTCTCGACAACAATAGAGTGTGGGGTGCGGGTGTGGGTGTGGGTGGGGTGGGTGTAGGTGTGGGTTCGTTTGTGTCTAGTCAACTCATAATCTCCACCCACATCCATATCCACACCCACCGATACCCACAACCCATCTCCACTGACAAGAACAACTGCATCTATTCTCAAGCATCTTTACCAGGTCTGTTAATATTTTAGTTAGAGATTCCTCTCACCCTTTTGTTTTGTACAATTCGAAAGCAATTTTCATGGATTTCATATCTAGTAGAGACGAGCATAGATGTACCAGATCATTGTAACACAAGTCATATTAGATTAATTCTCGAACATCACGGGTTGTTAGACCCAACTTCGGTTTTTCTTTAATACTTTTTCATCATTAGCACGGATGTTTTGTATTGATGTACTTATGAGGAGAGTATCAGCAATGTGGTAAATGTCTCTTCAGCCATTAGAATAGCTAGCGATCATTTTAGTGCTCTATGATGACCTCAGTTCTTTCCGATTTTTCTCTAAGGATTAAGATTCGTGTGAGAACAAATTCATTTGAATTCTCGTGCAGTTTAGGTTAGTCGAGTTATACGATATAGGATTGCGGAGCAAGCACGAATAGCACATGTTCTTAGTGTTGTTATCAATCGACCAACAATAACAATTCTTGGATGAAAAAAAAGCTATGTAACTGAGTTTTTTTCAGACTTTTTTATTCTTATAATTCTTGACACTCTATTCTCTTTTTTAAGACATATTTACTTAAATCTTACCTTCATTCAACAATGGATATATATGAACATGTACCAAAATCTTCTGAACATCTCACTGTGCAGGACACCTTATTGAAAAAGAAGACAAAAAAGTGCCGTGGTAATCGAAAATTACAACGTTATACACGCCGATGTCAAGCAAAAGGAATGAATGATCAAGCAATTGAAATGTTAATGTTGCTTAGACAAGTAAATAAATCAGTTCATCAAAATACTCAAGAAACACATGAAAATCAAAAGGATGGGTCTTTTATAATAAATACAGTTAGTAATGTCATGGACATGTAAACACTATTAGAAAATCTGGTATTATCAGAATTAATAAATGGTAATAGTAATGATTTTCTTTCCTCCTTTACAGAATTGTACTAATGAATGTCAAGATATCGAAGACAATTTAGAAATTGATTCAACAAATGAATTATTTATATCACCACAACCAAAAGCAAACGAAGAATGGTCTTTATTACTGGCTACAACATATCCAAAGCGAATCAAACATTATAATTTATCTAATGATCATTGGAAACAAATGTCAAAACTCATACCAAATTATAAAAAGTTATCAACTGATCAATTCAAAGACGCGCTAATGAAGATCATTCCTGCTTCTTCTCAACATCATATTAAAGAATATTACATAAGTTTGGCAATGTTACAATTCATTCAAGAACGTACTGAAATAATATGTCATATTTTGCAATTAAAAATTGAACAAGATTATTGGAATTATATAGACAGTTTAACAAGTATGTCTGTCTTAATTTGGTTATTCAATGTTGATAAAAAAGTCACGAAACAAAATTCTATTAATTGGAATCATACGAAATCAAAAACAAATATTCAACATCGACAAACAATTATTTAAAATAAATTACAACAAGCCGAAAATAGTTTAAACTTTCATCTACAACAATCATATCCATTTGATTGTCAACTAAACAATAAGACTTCTTTAGTTAATTTTTTGAATGTTATCTCTAATGGTCTTGTTACTCTCGCCGAAAATAGCTTAGATTATTTCCGTACCAACTTTGAACAGAAGAAAATCTTATCAAACTTTGATATTACTGATGTAAGTCTTGTCAAATCATTCTACGATTTAAATGCTACACAAGAACAAGTTTCTATTTTTTATTCTGCAACCTTCTTTTATTTTATTTTTTATATTCTAGATTTCGAGTGTTCAGAAGATTTGGCGAGCTAAAATTAAACCTTGCAAACAAGCAATTCGCCAAAAAAAGAAGAATCATTCATTATCAATAATGCATCAAATTTCAAGGGAAAAGATCGATCATGATCAACAAAAAACTTTACTTTCAATGGAATCATTTATTTCTTCAATGCACAAAATTATTGAAGCTTGTCTAACAAATATTGAAGAACGTACACAACAATTAATGAAATTTATTCATACGATCGATGACAATATCTTCTTCTAAGTGTATCTAATTGTTTCTATTCCTATATAGTTTATTTTCATCAAGACTATCTCATATGTTTCTGCCTAAACAAATCGTTCGATTTTTCATTCAACTTTTGTGTTAGGCCACAAGCTATAGACTTATATATATGTATACATAATCGTTTTTTTCAGATATCATTCACTATAATCATTCTCAATTGCAAACGAATACAATATTGTTATAAATGGAGAAACGAGGACGTCGAAATGAACAACTGTCATCAACTCAAGTGTTAACCGGACAAAAGAAGAATGATGGAAGAACTATGAATATTTACTTGGACAATGATTCTATAACAGAAGATGACAATTTATCAAGGGGGAAACAGCAGAATCCATGAATCCACTTGAATCCACTTGAATCCAAGGGACTGGATTCTGCTGTTTCCCCCTTGGTTTATGGTCTGCATTGACTAAAAACATGTATCCACCATTGTCGCCCGTGTGATCTGTTTTATTAACGTGCCAATACCAGGGGAAATCATCGTGGATTAAATTAACAAAACTGAACGAGCCGTCGTATGTTACAGGTTGAAATTGTTGCTTGTATGTTGTAGTGAAATTGAAGCGAGCAGGTGTAGCTTGAGAATATTGAGCTGAACCATTTCCAAATGTAATCAATAGAATGGGCGTCTTGTTGAGCGTTTCATTGTCACGGCATAATCCAACAGATTCTTGAAGAAAAAAAAACAAGAACGAGTTATACGCAAAAGTACACCGAAAACTCCAGAATACGTAACACTTACGAACTTCACAAGTTGGACCACTGAAACCATTCGTGCATATGCAAGTATTTTGGCTAGTGAATGTTCCATTATTTTTACATTCAGGAACACAGATAACTAAAACGACAAAACAAATCTAAGATAGATTGGATATTTCTAGTACACAAATGAAACAAACATTACAACATTTATGTAAAAAATCGAGAGTACGATGAAATATGCTCTGGTGTGCTAACCGTCTGACAGTGCAAAACTTATCGCTTTGAAAACTGAAACAAAAGAGAAAATAATGGGTGACTCTTGGAGGATGGGTCTTTCTGTAATTTAGTCTGAAATCATCCAAAAACTTAAATTCATCTTTCCACTAGTTTCTCTTGATTGCTTCAACATCATGTGCACGAAAAAGTAATAGCAAAAGTCAAACAATGATAACAAAAAATAAACTGATAGCTGAACTGAGAGTATCTGGATCTTGTCAAAAATGAATATTCAAAATCGCTCTCACATGTCATGTGTATTGAAAAATAACTTAATCACTATACACTAATAACAAAATTATAGCCGAAAAACATTTTGCAAATTGAGTTCAAAACAACAAACATTTTTTGTTGAGAAAACGATGTTGATTGTTCTCGAAATCGCCGACTATAATCTCTCAATCGATCGAACTTGAACGGATCAAAATGGTGGCATAAAGTAAAAGCAAACAATTTCATAAAAGTGTATGAACTTCCCAAAGACATTTCCACATTAAGCAAAAGTAAGAAAAAAGTACTAAGAAATTAGGAGCACTAATTACATGACTCAATAGATCAGTACATCGCAAATCCAGGTCAATAAATCCGATCAGATCCAACTAACCGACAGAGTCCAGTGAAAATCCAGATAACAGAATCATCACTGGATTCGACGCTCGAATTTTGATATATATTCGATGAGATCCAATACTCTAGTTTATCGTTCTATTTTTTAGGTCTTTCAAGCTCGCTTCTGTCCGTAAAGATAAGGCAATGTGGTATGTGAAAGGATAGAAATTTATATATAATAGTTCATGTCTATACTAATTTTAGCTAGAAAAAAACGACTCATTGATTAACATGGATTATGATCGTATTTTTATTGTCCAGACAAATGAGTAATCATCTAAATAATTGTCACCTAATCAGCACTCAATCAATGAGCGCTCACCAATTAGTTTCAAATTCTAACACTAGAATTCTAGCGGATTTCATAAGATTTCGATGAATCTAATAAGATCTGTTTATTGGGTTGTTTGTTCTGCGAAGGTGGTGATTATTTCTCAGTCATTTATAGAACAAATTTTATTTCTTCTTCATTGAATTAAGAAAAACTTTAATTATTCACTCAGTTCTGTCAACATTTCCTTTGCAAAAATTCCTACATTACATTCTGATGAATCATTGCAAATCTTTCTCTCAACAAATTTTAGATTTGTTTTATTTGCGTTGTCCTCATCAAATTCGTTCTTCATTTTTCACATTATTCATAGAAGTGAAGGTACAACCGATGATGTATGTGATATTTGATATTCTCAATGATGAAAAACTTACAACCACAAATTTTATTGCTGTTACAAAAACCATTGAGACCATCAGATGAGGAATTTCAACTCTTCGTATCTTTACATTTTGGACATTTCGTACCACCACAATCAATATTGGTCTCATCTTAATTTTTTATTTTGTCTTGACATGAAGCAGAAGGTAAAATGAGAGAACTTGTCAAGTTTATAATTCGAAAAGATTATATACTCACGAATACATGTATTGTTTTTGCAAATGTCACTGATACAGTCACAATTAGCCTTGCAAATCTTCATATCTTCACATTTGGGGCACGTGATACCACCACAGTCAATATCAGTTTCATCTTGATTTTTCATCTGATCCTTACAAAGAAGAACTAGAATCGACATTAAATCGCATTATTTTTAATTTTTTATCAAGATATTTTTTTTCTAAAAATATCTGGAGTGTGGGTGTGGCTGTGGCTGTGTGGGTGTGAGGTGTGGGTGTGGATATTCGTGTGATTCAAGAGAAATAACATCCACATCCACAACTGTATCCACACCCACACCCACACCCACAGCCACAGCCACAGCCACAGCCACAGCCACAGCCACAGCCACAGCCACAGCCACAGCCACAGCCACAGCCACAGCCACAGCCACAGCCACAGCCACAGCCACACCCACACCCACATAGCCACAGTCACAGCCACACTCACGCCCACATCCACACGCAACCCCA